ATGCGCAGGATGATGGGAAGAACACATCAACAATAAATTGTGTAAACAAAGCAATGAAAATAAAAGAATTGATATCACTGATAGGGTTTGTTTCCATAAATTCCACAGCCTGTGCTTCCATATTCATGGATTTTCCAATCCTCTTATACCTTGCATTCCTTGATCGCCGACCGGCCCCCGAATTCCGATGTCTCCTTGATCACCTGGTGGACCTTGGATTCCAGGATCACCTTCTAAGCCTTGCTCTCCCTTTGGTCCCTCATCTCCTGGCGGTCCTCTCGCCCCCCGTCTTCCACTTTGTCCATCTCGTCCTGGAGGTCCTGGTGGTCCTTTTATTGGGCTACAAGCCTGAAAATAAAATTTGTATATGTTTGGTATTTGTGGATTGAATTGAAATATAACTTTTCTTTTAGAAACAATTGATTTAAGAATTTACTTGGACTACAAATAGTGCGCAGATGACCGATAAGAAAGCACCGAAAAGATACATTATACCGATAATCTGAAATTGGCTGTGTGTGGAGTAGCTGAAAATCTTTAAATCTTATTTTAATCCTTAAAATTTTTAATTCTTTCAAATGTTGCAACAGACGGATTAAAAAAACTGGTGAAAGTGTTTCGTTTGGTTTAAAAACTTTTTCAAAAAACCACACTCGCTGTTGGAAATTTTATGCGAATGGAATCTTCTCCATATTTATATTCCTTATATTCTTAGGATAGGCTATAATTGATAGATCATAATTTAAAGAATTCCTGAAAATTTATAATACTATCAAAAATGTTACAGAAGATTTTAGGACTTAAATGAAATTTGGTAAAGCAAATTTCAAGGAGAGATATTCTATTTATATTGATAAGTTAAATGAGTGATAGGAATCTTTCCGGAATTTGCTAAACAAAGAAATATTTCAAGAATTCATTGTGGAAATGGAATGTAAGAAAACGCAACATCAAACGATTATTGACAGTATTTATGAATACTAAACGATCTTCTTTTGCGATGATTTGAGATGAGTGGAAAGGAAATTTAATCGACTGATAAAAAATTGACAGTTGAATTTCTTTCTTATCTTATTTATTTGCTTCCATTACTATTTGCCACTGGCAAGAAACACTATTACTTGATTTACGCAAATTGGAAACGTGCAATCATTTTGAATTCGAAACGTTGAAGATCACTGGCTAGTGTTGTTAAGTGAAAAATGAGCCATTGAGAGATGTTGTTAATTACTAACTTACTTTGTTACTTTTTGCAAATCATGTTGAAACATTTGGAGTGGAAGTGAAGTCGGAAGAAATTATTCTTAATGCTGAAAGGTTGTTACTAATGTCAAAAGATAGTTTTTTTTGTTAACTTATCAAATTTATTGATAAACATAGACTTTAGTAACAACTCAACTTCGATAAACTTTTAAGACAAATATTCAAGAATTTGTTTGACTGATTTTATCAAAAATAATTAGGCAGATTATCAGACATGTAAAATCGATGTTTTTTTATAAGGTGCGCAACATTACTGATCAGTTAATTATAATCAATTTTCATTTTTCATTAATTGGTGAGCTTAATTTTGGAAGTTGAAGCCATGGTTAATATTCGATGTTATTATCGTTGAGGCCACCGACATTTGACTTTCTTTTATAGTAAAATATATTAAATAATAAAAGGCGATTATTTTTAAATATCACATTTTTTTCATCAAAATGTTAATTATAAAATCTTTAATTTTCAAAAATGAACACTTTTTCATTTGTTTTGCTGTTAGCAATGGATTGACGCAATTAAAGCAATTAATTCAATCATTAAATAAACTCATATTTCAATCTCTTATGGGATGGATGGAAGTAAAGGAGACCCTGGACCACAAGGAGCGACAGGACCTCGAGGACTGAAGGGCCCAATTGGACCGAGAGGAGAAAACGGACCAAAAGGACTGCCTGGGTCACAAGGCGCACGTGGAGAACAGGGCGAAAAAGGGGAAGTAGGAATCATGGGACCAATGGGAGGAGCAGGATAAAAGTAACAGACAATGGAATTTGTCTGAGATATTGAACCAATCCTCTCAATAATATCAGTTCTCTTATTTTTCGAATTAATACAAACAGCATTTATTGCATTCGAACATTGAATCATTTGTTTTGTTTTCCACTTTTGGCGAAGTAATACCGGTAAGTGCATAGTGTGATCCGGAATATTGGTTAAAATATTGAAATATTCGACATCGTTAAAATTTTACAGCACAATGAGATGTTGAACTACCGTAAGGATTTATTGTCTAGAAAATAGCGTAGATGACCAGCAAGAAAGTGCCGAAAAAATGCATTGACAATCTGAAATTGGTTTTGTGCACAGTGACTAAAAATTTATTGAAATTTTGTGAAGTACGGAAGAGAAAGATGTCAAAAAAGGTATTTAAGTTTCTT